TTTCCCTATATATTTGTAGTTGTCCAGCTCATTTCTTTCTATTTTTTTTAGTAGAGACGGGGTCTCGCTCTTGGGCTCAGGCTGGCCTCTACCTCCCGACCTCGAGCGCGATCCTCCCTCCTCGGCCTCCTCCCAGAGTGCTGGGCCGACAGGCGTGGGCCTCCGCCGCGCCCGGCCTGGGGCAGGGGGGGGTTGATCTTCCTCCAGACGAGAGTCTCGCCGGAAAGTCCTGTGATTCTCAGGCTGGGCCGGCTCGGGACTCGGGTCACGCCCGGGCGCCCGGGTCCCCCGATGCCCAGCCGGGCGGGCCTCGTTCTGGAGGCCGGCGCCTGCGGGTGACTCTGTCCTGTTTTTCCTTCCCCTCAGATCTTTGCGAGCATCGCCCCTTCCATCTACGGCCACGAGGACATCAAGCGGGGCCTGGCTCTCGCCCTCTTCGGCGGGGAGCCCAAAAACCCAGGTGACGCGCCGCCCGCCTGCCGCCGCGGGGCTGGGGGCACCTTCCCTTTCCTTAAGATTCTCAGTTATTTATTTTTTTGAGGCAGAGTCTCGCTTTGTCGCCCGGGCCGGAGTGAGCGCCGTGGCGTCAGCCTCGCTCACGGCAGCCTCCGACTCCTGGCCTCCAGCGAGCCTCCTGCCTCGGCCTCCCTCCCGAGTAGCTGGGACGACAGGCATGCGCCTCCACGCCCGGCTCGTTTTTTTCTATACATTTTTATTTTTCAAGCTCATTTCTGTCTATTTTTTTTAGTAGAGACGGGGTCTCGCTCTTGCTCAGGCTGGCCTCCAACTCCAACTCCTGGCCTCAAGCAATCCTCCTGCCTCGGCCTCCCTCCCGAGTAGCTGGGACTGCAGGCGTGCGCCACCACGCCTGGCTCATTTTTTTCTATATATTTTTATTTGTATTTATTTATTTTCCCTTTTATTTATTTTTTCATTTTTTTTCTTTTATTATACTTCATTCTCATGCCTTCAAAACTATATCTATTTTTTAGTTGGCCAATTAATTTTTTTTTTTTTTTTAGTAGAGACGGGGTCTCGCTCTTGCTCAGGCTGGCCTCCACCTCCTGACCTCCAGCGATCCTCCCGCCTCGGCCTCCCAGAGTGCTGGCATGACAGGCATGCGCCACCACTCCGGGCTCATTTTTTGTTTCAATATTTGTAGTTGGCCGATTAATTTCTTTCCATTTTTAATAGAGACGGGGTCTCGCTCTTGCTCATCAGTCTGGCCTCCAACTCCTGACCTCGAGCGATCCTCCCGCCTCGGCCTCCCTCCCGAGTAGCTGGGACTCCAGGCGTGCGCCTCCACGCCCGGCTCATTTTTTTTTTTCTATATATTTCTAGTCGTCCAGCTCATTTCTTTCTATTTTTTTTTAGTAGAGACGGGGGAGGGGGGGTCCCGCTCTTGCTCATCTGGCCGGCCTCCACCTCTTAACCTCTAGCGATCGATCCTCCCTCCTTGGCCTCCCAGAGTGCCGGGATTTCAGTCGAGCCACCCCGGGGGCCTCCCCGTCCGGCCTCCCAACGTACCCCTGGCGGCTCCCTCTCCTCGTGTCCCCGTCGCCCTGTTCCGACCCCTTCTTCCCGTCCCCGTCCCAGGCGGCAAACACAAGGTCCGGGGCGACATCAACGTCCTGCTGTGCGGGGACCCGGGCACGGCCAAGTCCCAGTTCCTCAAGTACGTGGAGAAGGTGGCGGGCCGCGCCGTCTTCACCACCGGCCAGGGCGCCTCGGCCGTGGGGCTCACCGCCTACGTGCAGCGCCACCCCGTCAGCCGCGAGTGGACCCTGGAGGCCGGGGCCCTGGTGCTGGCCGACCGCGGCGTGTGTCTCATCGACGAGTTCGACAAGGTGCGTCCCGTCCCCCCGCGTCCCCCCGGGCTGTCCCCGCGGCCGCCGCCACTGCGTAGCTGGCGTTTGGGGACACTGAGGCGCGGGGGGGACGGTGACACGGGACTCTCGTCCCCCCCCCTGCAGATGAACGACCAGGACAGGACGAGCATCCACGAGGCCATGGAGCAGCAGAGCATCTCCATCTCCAAGGCCGGCATCGTGACGTCCCTGCAGGCCCGCTGCACCGTCATCGCGGCCGCCAACCCCATAGGTGCCAGCCGCCGGCGGGTCTGGTGGCCTCCGGGGACCCCGGGAGGGACGCCACCCTCACTGAAACGGGCTCTTGCCTGGGTGATCGTAGAGCTCACCGGGGTGGGACCCTCCCACGAAATGCCCCCTGGCTGCAGGACACAGAAAGAGCGGGAGGAGGACTCCGGAAACAGTGCTCGGGCGCCTTGGGCGCGATTTGTGTTCAGAGTCGCTTTGGGCTTTTTTGGTGTTTTTTTTTTTCGGTGGCCCGGGGCTGGAGTGAGTGCCGCGGCGTCAGCCTCGCTCACAGCGGCCTCCGTCCGACTCCTGGCCTCGAGCGAGCCTCCCGCCTCGGCCTCCCTCTCCAGAGAGGCTGGGGGTACATAGGCGTGCGCCACCACGCCCGGCTTGGTTTTTTTGTTTTTTGTGTGTTTTTAGTTGTCCGGCTCGTTTCTTTCTGTATTTATAGTAGAAATGGGTTCTCACTGTTGCTCAGGCTGGTTTCGAACTCCTGACCTCGAGCGATCCTCCTCGCTCTTGGGCTCAGGCTGGTTTAGAAGTCCTGGCCTCCAGCGATCCTCGCGCCTCGGCCTCCCTCCCGAGGAGCTGAGGCTACGGGCATGCGCCACCACGCCCACCTCGTTTTTTTTTTTTCTATATGTTTTTTTAGTTGTCCAGCTCATTTCTTTCTGTATTTATAGTAGAAATGGGTTCTCAGTGTTGCTCAGGCTGGTTTCGAAGTCCTGACCTCGAGCGATCCTCCCGCCTCGGCCTCCCAGAGTGCTGGGATGACAGGCGTGGGCTACCAGGCCCGGCTAATTTTTTCTATATATATTTTTTTCCTTGTCCAGCTAATTTCTAGTTTTACAGTAGAGACGGGGTCTCGCTCTTGCTCAGGCTGGTCTCAAACTCCTGACCTCCAGCGAGCCTCCCGCCTCGGCCTCCCTCCCGAGTAGCTGGGACGACAGGCACGCGCCACCGCGCCCGGCTCATGTTTTCTATATATGTTTTTTTTGTTGTCCAGGTGATTTCTTTCTATCTTTGTTTTTTGGTTTTTTTTTTTAGTAGAGACGGGTCTCTACTCCTGTTGTTCAGGCTGGCTTCGGACTCTTGACCTCGAGCGATCCTCCCGCCTCGGCCTCCCAGAGTTCTGGGACTACAGGCATGCGCCACCACGCCCGGCTCAGTTTTTTATATGTTTACGTACATATATATTTAGTTGTCCAGCTCATTTCTTTCTATTTTTTTTTTATTTTTTATTTTTTTTGGGCAAAAAGAGCATCCATACCTGAAGTTTCTATTTTTTTAGTAGAGACGGGGTCTCGCTCTTGCTCAGGCTGGTCTCGAACTCCTGACCTCGAGTGAGCCTCCCGCCTCGGCCTCCTCCCAGAGTGTTGGGATGACAGGCGTGAGCCTCCACGTCCGCCCTCTGCTCCCCGTCATCCTCGGGTGCATGGGGTCACAGGGTGACAGGTGTACAGGGTCGCAGGGCGGCAGGGTCACGGGTGCACGGGGTCATGGGGCGGCAGGGTCACGGGTGCAGGGGGTGACAGCTGCACGGGTGCAGAGGGTCACGGGTGGACAGGGTCGCAGGGTGACTGACAGGGTAACGGGGTGACAGGATAACGGGGTTACAGGGTCACGGGTGCACAGGGTCACGGGTGGACAGGATCGCTGGGAGGGTGACAGGGTCAGGTGTGGACAGGGTCGCTGGATGGGTGACAGGGTCACGGGTGCACAGGGTCACGGGGTAGGTTACAGGGTCACAGGGTGAGTGACAGGGTCACGGGTGGACAGGATCGCTGGGTGGGTGACAGGGTCAGGTGTGGACAGGGTCGCTGGGTGGGTGACAGGGTCACGGGTGCACAGGGTCACGGGGTGGGTTACAGGGTCACAGGGTGGGTGACCGGGTCACGGGTGGACAGGATCACTGGGTGGGTGACAGGGTCACGGGTGCACAGGGTCACGGGGTGGGTTACAGGGTCACAGGGTGGGTGACAGGGTCACGGGTGGACAGGGTCGCTGGGTGGGTGACAGGGTCACGGGTGCACAGGGTGGGTGACAGGGTCGGGTGGACAGGGTCGCTGGGTGGGTGACAGGGTCACGGGTGCACAGGGTGGGTGACAGGGTCGGGTGGACAGGGTCGTGGGGTGGGTGACAGGGTCAGGGGTGGACGGGGTCGCTGGGTGGGTGACAGGGTCGCGGGTCCACAGGGTGACGGGTGCACAGGTCGCGGGTGCACAGGGTGGGTGACAGGGTCAGGGTGCACAGGGTGGGTGACGGGTGCACAGGTGGCGGGGCTGCAGGCGGCCGTGGCAGACGCGTCCTGTGTCGCAGGCGGCCGCTACGACCCGTCGCTGACGTTCGCGGAGAACGTGGACCTGACGGAGCCCATCATCTCGCGCTTCGACGTGCTGTGCGTGGTGCGCGACACGGTGGACCCCGTGCAGGTGAGCCCGTCCCCGTCCCCGTCCCGGTCCCCGCCCGTCCCCGTCCCCGCCCCCGACCACCCGTGGCCACTGGGGCCGCGACAGGCGCGCAGTCAGCACGGAAGCCGCCCGCGACCCCGACTGTCCCCCGCGCCCGCCTCTGCGCGGGAAAGGCCGGGCCGGGGCGACTGCGCATGCGCTGTTCCTCCCCCGTGGGCTGTCCTCCCGCACCCCGCGCATGCGCTGTTCCTCCCCCGTGGGCTGGCCTCCCGCACCCCGCGCATGCGCTGTTCCTCCCCGTGGGCTGGCCTCCTGCACCCCGCGCATGCGCTGTCCCCCCCATCCTCCTGCACCCCGCGCATGCGCTGTTCC